ATATATATATATATATATATATATATATATAATAATAATTATATTATATATACATATATATATAAAAAATAGAAGAATAAATATTTTCGTTTTACGACATTACAAATATTTAAAGCTGCCAAGATTACAGAAATTGGAAATCTTACTATCGAAGAAGAAAAAGAAAACTAGAATATTGGTAAAAATTAAATAAATATAATTATAATTATAAAGTGTAAATGGATGTTTGTTTTTAATTTGTTTTTTAATAAAATTCAATGTTTTTTGTTCCAAGTCATTTTTAAGATTAAATTTTAAAAAAGAATTTTGGAATATTTTGAAAAGGATTATTTGGAATATAAAAAAAACCATATTTTTTTACAAGTTAATCGTAAAATTTACAATCACGGAAAAGATTTATATTATAAAAGTAGTTTGGAAAATATTTTGTTATATAATAAAAAAATATTTATACAAACGCGAAAATCGAAATATCTCAAGATAAAAAATATATGACTTAACCCACTTTCATAATCACATATGTTAATCTCCGTGCACAACCGTAAAACAATACAAATATTAGTTCGTGATTTCTCTAGATATATCTCGTCGACTTTTCGACGATATAATGGTAGACTTGCTACAGTGAATGAAAATCCTTCAGAAGAAGCTTAAATAATGGTAGGCACAATATTTTAGTAAATTATATAAAAAAAATACAAAAATAACACCATTACTCGATTTATATTCGATATATTATCGATAAAACGAGGAAAACAGCAATGTGTGTCGCGCGAAAAGTTCAAATAGCTGTACAAGCAAATCAAAAGCATTGAAACCTAAACAGCTGGACGACGTGGAAAAGAGAGATTTGTTTACGTAAATCCTGAACAGAGTGTGTCGAATGCACGTCGGTACTCATCGCGCGATTGTAATTCTGCGGCAAATTACCGCTGTACGCGTGTTGATACATATGTTCGCGACAACGTCGGAATCGATAATGCCATTATATAACCGTATGAGGTACAATCGAATAAAAGTGACGTAATCAATTTCGCGATATTAACTCGTTAAAACACACGCAGTTCCTCCGATAAATGCTGTTACGCGGATGTTACCGTTCGTAAATATGCTTTCATAAAATGCTCACAGAAAATATTTGCTTCTTTGTAATACAATTGAGAAACATCTTGATCGTTGTTTGAAATCTTCAAATATGAGTATTGCGTGATCACGTGATAGAGTGATCACATCTGATCGCAAAATAGTGATGCTTTACATATTAATTATATTGTAAATACAAGTTTTTCTCATCCTTTTGTGCTTGATCCATCACTTTATTCATTTAAAACAAAGAGATATTTTCTTTGAAAATAATTGCTAATAATTGGTAAAAAAATGAACGGAAGTTTAGCATTTCTATCACGATATACATTTGCGCTTCACGGACGAATCATGTCCTCTGAATAACTTGCAACAATTATAGAATCATGTCCATTCACAATAATGATTTGTGTTATGTGTGACATGTTTTATTTTATATTATTTAAATAAACATGTTTTTTTGGTATAAATTACACTTACACCTTTTGATATTAATGGGTTAACGTAACGAGAAACGACGTCCATCCGCGAGCAAATTCGAACGGATTACAATTCAATAAACTTATATAAGACATAATACATGAATTATGACATAACACGATGAAGCGAGCGTGTTCTTTTTGCTTTCGCGCTATTAATTAATTTGACAGCAATTTATCGTAGCGGGAGTAGAACTGGCTGCCGGTCCGCTTAACTGCAAGGTTAAAAAAGTAGCACAAGTCTCGCGATATGTACGTATTTAGACACGCTTATTCAAGGATCGTCTTAATTGCGCTCAAGTAGCAGTAAATGTAATATCAGAGAGTACGATGACACGTATCATTTAAAATTTAATGTCCTGTGGAGAAAAAATCATTCGAATAATGACTCGCGCACTGATTAAAACTGCTCACTTTATCAAATTACAATGCCAAAAGTGAGTAATCATGCGATTTTTTTCTCGCGATAGACAGGAAGCTTTAAAGTTCGCATTACATAAAGAATTGATACATATGTACGTTGACGAGTTTGAGGTTTCACGAGAGCATGAGCACGCTATAGAGAGAAATGACTAATCAATATCCAATCTTTCTCGTCGACACAAATGAAATGGAAAATAGTAAAATATCTGTCCGCGCATTTATTCCCAGTCGAAAGGAAACACTCGTGCTTTTTTACAGCATTGCGGATCACGTACGCGACGAGCGCGTGGTGCGGATCGATGCAGCGATGTCTTTAAGCGTTGATTCGTCACGTAACTTTATCTCGAAATCGCGAGTTACAATGTGTCAGAATTCGAATTTTTACACTCGTGATACGTAAATAACTTTGTGGTAATGTTTCCGCGATATTTTTATATTTCCTCTTTTCACAATCAAAAGAAAATACGCTATCTCGGAGTAAATTATAAAAATTCAATGCGATCTTTCGAATCGAAAGACCATCTATGCAACGACAGAATTGCACACAATTTTGCGATTAGCATACAAAGGGTATTTAACATTGCGCGCGCTTTGCATTTTGCTGCGTAACGAGAATCGACAAAATCGCGCGTTTGTTCCAAAACATATCAGTGTCGCTTTGATACAGCAACTTCTTCGCGATCACACTATCTTCCTTCCACACGCAATGTATTTTAGCGATGCCCTGATCGATCTTATTTATTTTCTTTAAGAAATTGAGATCGCGCATGAACATTGATTCAGTAATCGCAGTCCTGCGAAAGCGAGTCTGTTTTGAAAGTGTATCGCCTTTTTTCTCCTTTTTCTACATATATGTATAAAACATCAATTCTCCTTATTTTGAATGGCATTCGTGAGAAAGGGAGTTGAGCGTAACGATATTCACGAATATCTTCAAGGAACATTTTTTTAAGGATCGTCCGAGTAACCTAACTCCCGTCAGATGTAAAACGAGACATTTGCGAGACGCGCGTTGTTTAACCTTCGTCTTTTCGTCCTAAGAAAAATGCGGAAGTCGCACTTGCAAATATATCGTCTCCTTATACATAGATAGATATGTGCTTCCGAAACGCGAGCGCCTATGCGGCAAAAGTCAGTCAGCGGGCGAAATTGACAGAGAGAGAAAGAAAGAGGAGAAAGAAAGTTACTGGAAATAGAAATTAATGTCAATGTGTAAGATTTATCCGAGTTATAAAATGTGATTGTTTGTATCACAAAGTTTTCGAAAATTGTAAACTTTTCAACTCTGGCTATATAGTCTTCTTTGGTACATGTGACGATGGAAATACTCACGATGACGAGTAGAATGATGATGAGGAACGGGAACGGAGTTCGCAGCCGAAAATACGGAGACTCGCGAAACGGCCGGTCGTCGGGTTATCGGGATTCACTCGTGACCGTGACACCTAGCAACCGTGTGCATTGTTTCGTTCATATTTCGGACAGGATCTCTTCGGGTGAAACTAGATGCAGAACCCGTACGCGACAGCGACGCGGAGACATGCGGTCGAAAGCGGCGAAACTAGTCTGTCGGGTGAACACGGCACATCTCAACGGTGTCGACGACGGTATGACGTCATCGGGAGAACGTATGTTCCGGAATTTCGAACGGGTAGCAAATGGGATAACGGTTCTATTCGAGCGCGTGAAGATAGCCGCGCGGCGCGTGGCAATGCGATCGATTCGACGTGCTTTACAACGCGTATAACTAACGTGGCTCAGGTATCAGATTCGCGTATATGCGAGTACGTAACGCGCATCCGATGCACACGTCGAACACGTCTTCTCATCATTGGCTCGATCGCGTACGGTCGTTCTATCGTGCTGTTATGGTTATATCAGTATTTACCTTTCGTCAACACTTCCTCCTTTGGCCCGTTCGACGACACTCGTCGCACCACGAAATTATCGGCACTGACTCGTCAACAACGTGCGCGCAAACAATATGGCGACACAAGGTTGCCGATTTCCGCGTTGACAGTCATTGCATCCTCCGCGGCGCGCGAGACAGCGACAACGGCAACAACGGTAATCGCGTTTCTGCGCTAGCGCAGAAGACACTATGGTGTGACGCACATAGCGCGCCGCGCACCGGAAGTCGTGATAGGCGCGCCGAACAGGAAGCAACGTTTTAGAGTAAAATGAGCTGTAGATTTGTCCGCGAAAAATTTAATCGTTCAACAGATATACAAATCATTACATATATCGATTTGTTTTTGTCTTGCAATTTTTTTTCTATTTTAATTTATCTTTCACACATCTTTTATTTAGTTTATTGTACATTTCCTGTAATTTATTGTAATTATTTTTACGACCGTAATATTTATAATCTTTCATTGCATCTAAAGATGAAATATTACACTTTATAATTTGTTTATGCTATGTATTATTTTAGCACGACCACTTGTATTTTCTTTTTCTGTGTCTTATTATTTAAAAAATGTTATTTTTTAGAATACATTAAAATAAAACGTCATCAATAACTTTTTATTCTATCAAATACGGATGATGGGATGATAGCAACAGAGAAATGTTTTAATCGTAATATATATCTAAACCATAACGTATTATCAAGTGTATTGGAAATACAAATCTTATTAAATAAATATTTAACGAAATTTTACATTTATTCCTTGCTACACTGTTTTTCTACATAATCGGCAGCCATTTGAATTACGTGAGCTACGGCCTCGGGCGTGCCGTATTTCTCCTCGAAATCTTTAAACTTGTTGAATAGAGCTTTCATCTTTCTTGCTGGAAGCGTTTGTACACATGCTCGTTCCAATACTTTCCTGTCAAAATAGGAATATATATATATTATATTTCTTAAAATAAAATAACTAATAGATTTATGCCTGAAATATATTACGCAATTTATACCTAGCCTTATCAGTGTCTTCGGATTTTATTAAACAATCTACATAACTCGACCACACATCCACGCGTTTAGGATAAGAACTTAAAATCTGTTCGAATAATGTTTGCGCCCGTTCCTTATCTCCCAGTTTGTTTTCCAGATTGGCAAATCTTACTATCAGATTCACATCTGTAAATATGCGGACAGTTAGTATAAGTTATATATGAACGCAGAAATTTCCTGCTTTCTCACTGTAGCGATCGAATTATAACATGAATTTTTGTATAGTAAAAATCAATTGGTTTTTTCCCATGTCACTATTCGTACAATATTATCCTACATTAATAAATATGTATATAATTTAAATCTACAAGTATCATACGTATTCAATACAAAAGAAATAGTCGATAAAGATTTGCAGTTATTTATTAATTTACGAAAGGTGAATCTTTGATCTTACCAGTTTATATTGACATGTAAAATAATTGATTTATTTGAATGTTTGTAGCAAGAAAAATTTTATATGATCGCAGCGAGAAATCAGGAACCTTAAGATCAAATCAGATGTTATTAAACATTGTGCACTTACGCTGAGATGCGGGCAAGGATTGTAACGCCCGTTGCATAATGTGCCGTGATTTTTCTTTCAAACCGATTTTCAGTAATGCAGCACCGCAGTCTATCCACATTTGGGGTTCTTGTTTGAACTTGCTGGTTATAGTGCCGATCAGTTTCTGCAATTCGATTTGTCGACTGGCATCCGCGTGTACACTCAACATATGTGTGTACACTTTCAACGCGTCATTTGTTTTCACAGCTTCTTGGAATACGTCGTTCAGAGATTCAGGAGTGCCGAATCTAGATTCCAGATTTAGCCAGGCATTCCATACATTCAATCGTTCAGTTTCTTCTCTAAAGCTGATTGTTTTGATGGCTCGTCTCGCGACCGCTCTTGCCTTGTCGATCTCCGTAGCCTGCAAGTGATACGCCATGTACTGTAACCACACCAATGAACTGTCAGGACTTGACAAAACCAATCTGTCGAATTGATCGATCGAATTTGGCATTTTATTGTTCGCCAAGGCTTCCTCCCGCTGGCGTATTTCACGTTCTTTTTGTCGTTCCTGCTCCCGGCGCTCGGCTGCGCTTAATTTCTTTTTTTTTCGTTTAGGTTCTTCTTCGGATTTCTCCTCGTCATCGCTGGACGTTTCGACATTAGCCGAAACTGTTGGATTCGTTTTATTTTGCCACAAAAATCCACACGCTGAAATGTGTGATTTGTCCTCAGTTAATTTTTCTTCTATTTCACTTTCGTCGGAAGATACTTCGTCTAATTCGGAATTCTCATCTATATCTTTGATACGATTTTCTTCTACAACTGCGTCTTGATTTTTGCATGTTTCATTCTCTTTTTTACTTCTTTCTTTCTTAGCATCGTATTTTGATTTTACTCCACCAAATTTCTCATTCGATTCCTTTTCGATTTTTTTATTTTTATTAGTAACGTTATTAGTTTCAATTCCAGAAAGTTCTTTTTCATCGGCGACGCCACCTTCGTTCGCTGCACTCTCTTCATGGCTTTCAGTTTTCAATCTTTTTGACGCTGGATATTTAAGAGCATTGTGTTGGTCAGATCTTTCCTTCCTTTTCAATTTTTCGTTTGCAGAAATTGGTCCTTTTAGTGCTGCACGTTTTGGAATTTCAAGTGCGGACTTTAGCATGCAAATTGGGACTATATTAGACTCATTTCCTGTCATTACAACATACAATCGAATCTTGTCGTGAACCACGTAAGGCGTTAGATCGGGAGAAATGTCGTTTGCGTGTCGGCGAACGGGTAACGCTGCCAAATATCCTGAACCATTGCGTTTTATGAGAACAAGTATGAACCATTTGGTGATCATTAAAATTTCTGCTCTCAGCACAACTGCAGTGGGAAGTTGTGGCAGTGTTTTCTGTTTCGAGCTAATGCCATTCACTATTCTCGGTAGCAATGACACATCGACAAGTTCATGAATATAATTTTTCCACAAGATTATACCGGATACTTTATCTCCAACCTTGATTTTGCCGCTATAATGATCCTTGCGTACTGTGCCCATCAATTGATTGTCTAACTGAACCACGAGACCATGTTTAGTGATCTTCTCGACAGTACCAGTAATCTTTTGACCTAAAGTTGCTAATGAAATCGGTTTAGTCTCATAAAATGTATTTTTCGCCAGTTCTGACAATTTGCTGAGATACAAATGCAGAAGATCCACCGCTGACATTATTTTAACTTCGTATTCGGATGAACTTTCCCATACGTCTTTTAATGTCATTGTTAGAGTCAATTGCTTCTCTCGTGTATTGATAGCAGTGATTTTAACAAGTAATATTTGATTTACATGTAACAATTCAAAATTACTAATATTCTTGTATGGTACAAATCCAAATTTAGAATAATTTTCGATGGGCAAGATAACTCTCACACCATCTTGCGATATATCTCTGATTGTACACGGAATGCAATCCCCTATTTTTAATGAATCAAAGCTCCGATACTGCTCTTGTGTCACAAAAGTGCGCGACAGTATTAGGTTTGGCTTTGCAGCAAAAACGAAAGCTGAAATTGTATCTTCAGGATTTGATTTTAACGCTAATAAACCGCCAATCTCCATACATGGGGCCATATGACTTGCAGGTAAGAAAGCAGTAACGGCATGTTTTTTATCCTCTTTACACAATGTCAAATATACTCCCTCGATGGATGATTCCGTAATTGTTCCTTCGACCAACTCTCCGATTGAGAAACCAACAGATTTTTCTTTCTCTTCGTTAGTAACAATCTTTAGTTTTATTTTACTTTTTTCCTTCTCTATTGATTCAATGCACACCGTAACGGTTTGACCAGTAGAATAATTCCAGTTCATGTCATATGTATGGCTGTCAAACAAATTACGCGGGACCCATCCTTTTACATCTCCATAAAATTTTATCAACAGGCCATTTTTGTTCATTTTGACGATTGTACCATGATACTTCGATCCACATTGCGCCTCGTGAATATTATGCAAAACTGGTAACTTACTTTTTATTAATGACTGTTTCAATGTAAACTTTACCTTCTGAAATTTATCCAAATTTATGTTCAAAACTCTTGCTTCAATATCATCACCAACCTTCAGTTTACTTAATGTATTTAAACCGCTATCGGATATATGTTCTTGTAGAACAATCCCTTTAATCTTTCCTGCTTGCACGTGTACACAGCTGTAGTTTGTATCAATACTTGCAACAGTTACAGTGAGGATGTCACCAAAGTTGAGATCAGAAATTGAAAAATATTTCTGTTTCAAAATTTCCTGTTCCATTGTACAGACATAAATATGCTCCATCCAATTGTATGAAAGTACTCTGCATTTATGTGTAGAATTTTGCTCAAACTCGGTTGGGATTTTGGCAAACGGCACGTCAGTTCTTCGCAAAGAAATAAATCCACGTAATTCAAATTTGGATAACTTAAAAATTATGCCATTAGATTCCCTATATAAAACCTTGGCCTTTTTTATAATATCGCCTACCTTCAACTTCTCTTTTTCAGATATGTCGGTTAATAGACTAAAATATGCCGACTTTACAGTAGGTAGTATATATAATAATGTACCCGTCACTTCCATGTTATCCGTGTATGCAGACAAAGGATTATCCAAGTATATTTGATTTATGTATCCAATGTTATTTCTTCCAAATACAACTTGTAGGCCATTAGACAATACTTTTCTGATGCATAGGGTCAATTTCGTTCCGGGTGTTAAAGCATCTAAAGATACTATGTCATGTCTGCTTACACTGTCTGATTTCTTTTTCTTAGCTGACAATGTGATGACAGATGTATGATCTGTTGTTGTTATCTCCTTGATAGTGCAGAAGAGTTGATTACCTGGAACTATATATAATTTATGATGTTAATAAATTACTTTGTAAATATAATACTGATTTGTAACAAAAAAGAACTAATCATACTTACAATATTGCTTTCCTTTATCAACATTTTCATTAGCGACAAATGCTCTGATATTAGCTATGCCTGTGTCAATTACGTAGCCATGATCTTCTACACTCTTAACGGTACAAACCATCTTTGCGCCTTTCACAAGATAACTGTTATGAACATTTTGATTTATTAACTGTGGTTCCAAAGATAAGCTGTATGACCATTGTTCTTTGAAATTTATATTTTTGACATAACATACTACATAATCACCAAGATTATACAAATCTGGTAAAGGTTTAAATTCATTTAATTGGATGCTTTTTGTATCAATTATATTTTGCAATAAATTCGTATAAGACTCGCTGAGATTTGTAATTTCTATACGTCCCAAGAGTCCACCTGGTATGGACACAATCAGATTATATTCCGATATTTCAGAAATCCGACCCAGGATTATCATTCCTTCACGTACTGTTGCATTAGACAAACGTTCTGCAGTAGAACTTATTATTTCTACAATATCATCATCTGTCTTCTTTTTTGTCTGAGTCTTACGTTTCTTTTTCGGTTTTTTTTCATCAAATAACTAGGACAAAAGTATTATATTATTAATTGTATTGTGTGATTATATAAATAAATGTTTAAATATAAAACATATGATAAATGTAAGAAAATATTAACACATAATTTGTTAGTAATAATTTTAAACAAGTAATTTTTCAAGTTCTTAAATATACATTTAAAAAATTATTTAAAGATTTTTTTAAATGTTTTTTTTTATTTTTAAAACTTGGTCTAGATTTATTTACATATTGAGATAAATTTAATAAAATAAATTTTGACGTAAAAAATAAACAATAAAGTTAAATATTTACCAAATGTGAAGATTTAACTTCGGGTTTTTTTCCTCCTCGAGGAAAACTTTTCAATACCATCTGTAATATTTTAAATAACAATTAAATTGATCCTCAGTCAATGAAATAGTAATTTAGGTTAGAATAAATATAAATTTGTTTCAAGTTGTTCAATCTGTTAATAATTATATACTTTTAAAAAATTTCTAGGAATATCTTAATGTAATAAATAATTATATACTATACTTACTTTACAATAATAGGTGAATAATTAAATTAATTGAGAAATCTCAAGAGATTAAAACACACACGTGTATCACTATCAGTTAGTATCAGTTACTATAGGCAGAGAGAAGCCTGAGAGACGCCACGGCCAGGTTTTACGTGATCCGCGAAAGCGATACGCCACCTGTGGACCTAAAATGTGGACATTGGAACTACGTAGCCATGTGCACAATTTTTGGTTTCGTTCCGTGCTATGTCCACGAAAGATCGATAATACAGAGTAATGTGCACATTGATGTATATATAATGTACATAAAATAAATTTTTAGTCTAAACACATGCACATTCATTATTTATTTTTATGTTAAAGCTTTATTTGTAATAAATTGTAAATAAGAACAAAAATATCAAACGTTGAAGCAATCAGGCACAGATTTAATCAAATAATGCTTTTATTAATTAATTTTTTTGTTAAAGTTATTAGTTAAAAATTATCTGATTTATGTCGTGTTTGATGTCATTTTAATCGCTAAAATTCTTATTAATTCATAAAAATTATTTTCAAACCGATAAAATGCGAAATAAAGGTTTTACTTTTCACTTTATAAAATGTTTACATTCGTGACTTGAGGGATGGGGAAGTCCATTGTAAAAGAGTTCGGAACTCTTCTTTGATGATAGGTCATCTCGCTCGCTCTTCACTCGCGGTCTCACTCACGATTCTTCGGCCAGCTTAGACGATAGCAGGAGCGAGCGAGACGATGATGAGTGCGAGCGAGACAATAGCAGGAGCGAGCGAGACGATGATGGGAGCGAGCGAGAGGGAAATAGCAGCGTACAATGAATAGCCAGATCCTCGAGCTTCTTTGCACGCTACTATTTTTATCTCACTTGCTCTTATGATTGTTTCACTCACTCACTCTTATGCTCATCTCGCTCGCTGTCAAGCCCGTCGCTGGCAAGCGGCTGGTGAGAAGACAGTTCATGATAGATAGATAAATGTGATGATAGATAAATTTTTTTAAAGAATATATATTGTATGAGTTAATTATTTTAGAGTTATATATATATAAATTTTTGTTATAGATTATTTTTTTATTTGTTTATGTAATTCTTCGATAATTAATCAAAGGAGTTTGAAATTAAATATTAGGAGTTTTAACTTTATTAATATTAATTATAATGTTTTATTTTTTACCTATGAATAAAATCTTTGATAAATATTATAAGATTGCACTCTTTAAATAAAATATTTTTTAAATTTTATTAATTATTTTATTTTACTAACATTATTAGGATCGCAATCCATTCCATAATATCCATTTTCTTACATATTTTTAAGACAAGTTTTTTTAAGACAAGTATTTTTAAGACAGTCTTATCTTTAATACATTTTATTTACTCATCTATATCTCTTACTATATCTCATCATTTTTCATTATCAAATACTGACATAATAATATTTATTGTTTACATTAATTTTTTATCACCAATACATTTAGATAACAATTTTACTAATAATAGTTAATATCGAAGAATATATTTTAAAAACAATGTGGAAATAATAATTTTCTATTAGCTCTTATTTAATTTATTGAATGTCTGTCTTAACACAATTTTTTATTATTATTATTATTACCATATAATTTAAAAGACTAAGTAATTTTTTAATATAAATTTATGGATTTATTATAAAACATATCCACAGTAATAATTTCGTTTCAAAATAATTAAAGTCCAAAAAACATTAACATATTAAACTATTCAAATACCTCAATAAATATTCATCTTATACCTTCAAAAAATAGTTATTTCATATTCCACCATAACAATTAATGCTAATCTTCTAAAATATATTCAAAATTAAAAGCTGAAACAAATTCTGCCAAATAAATTCTAATTTAAAACATCAAAAATATGTACTATTAATAATATCAATACTATATATAAATACTAAATATCTATCAGAAAGAAAGAAAAGGAATCAAAATAAGGATATATTGGATACAGATCAGAGGTTCCGAAATAATAATACAAATACCCAGTTGGCAAAAAAATGATTTTTAAAGAAATTGCGCTACTTAGAATATAATCAGAAGAAATAAAAAACTTAATAAATTTTTTTTGCGAAGCCGGGCATTAGTCTCATGTAAAGTTTGTGGACAAAATGTTTATTTAGTTTACTGTAACATTAACATGTTTTCATTTATGCTGTAATATGAAAATTTATATTATTTGGAAAGAACATTTTTTTTAAAGAAGAAGGCCATTGTTTCACATGTATGTACACATATTTATTTATATTGAGCAGAATTAAACTTTTGAACGTAGAACTTATTTTCAAAAAATGTTTGAAAGGATAAAAATGATGTTTTAATATAAAAAAGAAATTTTATTTATTTTTACTTATATTGCCGTTAATGAGCATGACGTAAAGACCGCAATCACAGTTGAAATAATTGCATAAATCTTAGACTAGCAGGTCTTATCACGGGGAAATCTACGATGTAGGTTTCCTTCTTTTAACTGAAAGTATCAGTTATATTTTTGACGTCTTTTCTTCTATATTTATGTCTCAGGACGTCTGTTTTATTGCGAGTGATTTATAAAAATCACAATCTTACTTGATTAGATTTTGGTATTCTGTGTATATCTGTGTGTATGATACGCATGTGTACCTTATTTTTTAATTGTAGAATACCAAGTGGCAATATATTATTTGCTTACTTAATAAACATATTACAGAATTAAGATACTTCCTAAAATCATTATTGCATTTTGCATCTTATTTCGTATCATTGGTAACAAGAAAATACATGATTTTACAATTTCGTAGCATGACCATATTAAGACTCATTATTAATTCCGTGATAAGACCTGCTAGTCTACGATTTATGCAATTATTTCAACTGTGATTGCGGTCTTTACGTCATGCTCATTAACGGCAATATAAGTAAAAATAAATAAAATTTCTTTTTTATATTAAAACATCATTTTTATCCTTTCAAACATTTTTTGAAAATAAGTTCTACGTTCAAAAGTTTAATTCTGCTCAATATAAATAAATATGTGTACATACATGTAAAACAATGGCCTTCTTGTTTAAAAAAAATGTTCTTTCCAAATAATATAAATTTTCATATTACAGCATAAATGAAAACATGTTAATGTTACAGTAAACTAAATAAACATTTTGTCCACAAACTTTACATGAGACTAATGCCCGGCTTCGCAAAAAAAATTTATTAAGTTTTTTATTTCTTCTGATTATATTCTAAGTAGCGCAATTTCTTTAAAAATCATTTTTTTGCCAAACTGGGTATTTGTATTATTATTTCGGAACCTCTGATCTGTATCCAATATATCCTTATTTTGATTCCTTTTCTTTCTTTCTGATAGATATTTAGTATTTATATATAGTATTGATATTATTAATAGTACATATTTTTGAT